CTTCCTTCCTTCCTTCCTTCCTTCCTTCCTTCCTTCCTTCCTTCCTTCCTTCCTTCCTTTATTTTTCAATCATTTCGCAAATCCAAGACCAATGATTATCACTGTTTTCTATTTTTCATGAATCTAGTGTCATGGTCCCCATAACCTGACCAATCACTTAAAATCTATGCACACATAAATGCACATGTACATACATGCACAAACACATACATATGCATCAGTCTTAAGTGCAATACAGATGACCGAATGGGTTTGTTTAGTCTATTGCATACTTCAAACTTCCTATCCAATTTATACAATCACAATTAGCTTTTCTTTTGTAATCATGGAGGTCCCAGAACAATTGTTCGTTAAGTGATAAGGAACAACGTGAAGGACGTATAAAGCATCTGTTGCTCTATAATATTTACTTCATGTCAAGATCCAAGACTTTGTATGTCATTCTGTAGATTGATGTTCTAACCCTGTTACCATCTCCATTGGTAGGGTCAGCCTAAGAGAGTAAGTGGTTCTAAGTTGTAGTTATGATGCAAGAATCAAAACTTCAAATGCAGGATTCTTGATTTATCTTCACTGCCAGGGCTAGAGAACTAAAAGCTCAAAGAACGTAAAGCCTAGAGAAGCTAAAGAATCAAAAGAAAGTTCTTGAATTTACTAGATAATCTTTCTGGCTTCTTTTAAAGAATTTCAGTAGCTAACTTTCCAGCTGTCAGCTTTGTCTATTTGAAAAGGAAGGATCTATTCATGTGTTAAGTGTCTTGGGTCTTAAAAACATAGAAACACATTGGAATGTTGGGTCTGGTTGGCTGAGTTGAGCAAAGAGAAATAGAAAGGCCTGCCCACTGAAGAGAACTAAACTGAGGAGAAGATGGAGATTCTGTTACCCTCCCCTAATAAATTCAAAGCAGTCTTTATGAATTCATTCTTTAAAAGTAATCTCGTGTCTATTTCTTTTAAGGAACATCAGTCTCTTCATTGGCTACTCTGACATACAATATCCCTACAGAATTGAAAGTTCCTATTCCTCCTTTTTCTTCCCCCACCCCCCGCTGTTGAATTCCCTAAGCAAGAAAACTAAGACTATTAAACCTCAAAATACTCTCTACCAAGAAACAAGGTTCAAGAAAGTCCACCTTGGGTCCTGGAATCAAGTGTGAGCATAACCTGTTTACCATTGCTATACCTCAGCTAAACATAGAGATGTCAATTTGCAGAGCATCTGGAGCCCTTGAGATGCAAAGTGTTTGCTTTATACATTGTATGAGCTGATGTTGGAACATTCTCGATTGGCTGGTACTCCACTGCTATTATTAACCTAAAATAACTGATAAAGAAAGTATTGTTGCTGCCAGAAGATTCATTCACTACAATTATTAAATCTCAAATATATAAAAGATAAAATAATATCCTTATGGTTTCAGACAATGTTGACAATCTATGCAATTAGTTTCCCAATACCACTAGTCTAAATACTGCATAAATATATTCACACTTGCATGAAAATATGAATGGGTATGGGGCAGTTAAAGCCAAGCAATCGCAAAGAAAAGAGGTATAAGTTTGCCAACTTACAGAATGGCATTTATGAAGGACCTCTCTTTATCCTAAGTTGTTCTAATATCAAGTAGATGACCTAAAACTCTGCCTTCTCTCCTTAGGACTAGATATCAGAATCTCCAGGTGAGTGGGAAGTTAAAAACAAAAGGAATAATACATATCCTCACAGAGTCTAGGAGACCTCTGATGGCCTGCTGTGACTTTCTCCTCTTATAGTTTATGTTTCTAGTTTTAGTATCCATTCCTGACTCTGTGTTTCATGATTCTTAGCTCATTCTTGTCTTGAGCAAAGTAGGAAAAAAGTAAAGAAAAAAATAAATTATATTTATGTCTGCTACTATGTTTCAACCACTTAAAGAAAAATAAAAATAAATAAAGTAAAGCAAAAGAAATGTTCCTTTGCTGATCTTGAAACAGTAGCTGCTATCTAGAGGGAAAATACATGAGTTAAAAATAGCCTGCAAGAAGAGCATATCATGACTCGTGTCTCGAAATTTTCCCACAATGTGTCCATCAGGTTACTGTGTGGAGTGCCAGTCAAGGAGGCAGCTGGGGATAGGGAACTTCTCTTAACAGCTGCAGTTCAGCTCGTCCAACATTCCTGTGCAAAGATCATTAGAGAGCCTCATGTCTACATTTTGTTTGTTTGCTCTTTTAGTAATTCCCGTTTTAGGAAAGATGAAATATCAGTGTTTCAAGTATGCGGTCTGACATCTCCAAACTTGGAGGCACTTAATAAATCTTTGACTAGATCAGTCATGTCTGAATAGATTTTCTGTGCTGCAATTAGCATCTTGTAGTTAAATATAATCCTCAGTAGTCGGAAAAGAATTACCTAGGTGTGCCCTTCTCTCCCTAGTTAGCATACTTGTCATCTCTACATTGAACGTGATCACAACAGCTCTTAGAGTTGGCTAACAGCCCAGGGAACATCACCACTCCACTTCAGATACACCACCTCACCATAAATGTTCACCGAGAAGACTAACCTTCTTCCACATTCATTTGGGGGATTTCAGCATTTTGAAAATCCACTTACATGTTATTTTCCCTGCTAGGTAGAAGCTAGGTGCCAATCCAGAGTTAAATATATTCACAATAGAGATACAGATGCTGTCACAGTGAAGTTGTATTTTTGTTTCTTGAGATCAAGAAAAAAAAATTAGTAAAATGCTATCTGCATTTCAGTTGGAAAGAAATGAGGGATAAAGATTTAAAGCACAGGAAGCCATCAGGGAGCACTGAGGAGACGGATTTCAGCAAGATGTTTGACTGAAGTCACATGAATTCTGACGCTGCTTGCTTTTACAGCCAAGACTGCACAGTTATGACAATTTGCAACCATACTCCCTAGGGACTACATGGGGTGAGAAGATGTTCCAAAATGACAGACACTACTAGTCGTAATAAGGAGACATCGAGTTCAAAAGGGGTTAATGAGATGCAATAGGAAAAAGTCAATCCAAAAGTGAGGCTGAAAACAGAAAACAATTCCCACTTTGTTCTCATTTGCTCCTATTAAGAGCTGTGGAAACACAGCTACTACTCCCCAGAGCAGATATAACTGTTCTTAAAAAAAAGAGAGAGAGAAAGAAAAAATGAAAAGAAAGAAAGAAAAAATCTGCAGGGAGTCTACTTTTAAGTTATCATAAAAGTCTGAATTACATCCCAACTGGCGTCCCATGACAGTCTCTGAGTAGGTTCAGGTTTGCTTCTATCTCAGAGCTTTTGACAGCAGCTAACCTGAATGACTCCCCACCCCCTCACACCCCCCCCCCACTCCTGCAACCCAACTTCCCAGTTTAGGAGATTTATCTTAAAATAGGCCATGATTTTAATTTTTATCACAAATTTGCAGATTTCATGTTTTCCGAATTCACCATAAAAACACCAAGAAGAGGGGAATAAAATAGGAAGAGGGGCCCATACAGATGGAAATAACCTTCTTGGCATGAGAATAACCCCAAATGCCACACACTGGTTCCTCTCTGCATTACAATCTGGAAGTGCGCGCTTATGAACTGCATATGGATTTCTGAAAACAACCCGGGGGGTGGGGGAAACAAACGTTGTAAGAAAACAGGGTACCAAAGCTAAGTAATCTGGTGACTTACCTTCTCAGTGGATCCTCAAAGTTCACCAAGAAAAATTTAAATCCTCTAGCTGGTCATACACCACTCTAATTTCCTTTCCTCTTCGCGCTCTCTGTGTGGGTGTTTGTCACATAAGAGAAAAATAATCAACTTTCAAGGGTTCCATTTATTTGATCCTCCAGCAAGAGCAGAATATGTCCAAGAGACTCCGCCAAAAAGTGAGCCAAAAACTCATCAAAGACGAAAGGAGCCGGAGAGTAGGGCAGAGAAGGGGCTGCGAGAGGAGGGGGGGCTACAGATTGTGAGCCCCAGTGCCTGGAGATTGTTATCACGCTGTTGAGATCTCCTCTTGTACGGTATACCTCCTTGGTTGTCTCACAAACCCACACACACAGTACTGACACTCACACAATCTCTTTTACGAGGAAGCAGGCACCCACACGCAGGAACACATACAAACACATAAGCACTCACAGAAGCCTGTGTAATGAAAACTGTCAGTAGTAACCTCCAAGAGGTGCTGTGAGCTGCAGATGGTATGGCTTGCGGTTACCTTCCCAGGTCTGTGGAGAATCAAAAGAACATCCAAAATCAGGGGGCTGGGGGTTTTGGAAACTAGATTCCGGATTCCTCTCCCCAAGCAGATGTTTCAAGCCAGGAGCGAGTCAATCAGCAGAGGTGTCTGCTTGCACGGTGCCCCGGATTATGGCAAGGTTATTAATCTTGATGCGCTGCATGCCCCCACCCCCAACACTCAGCAGCCTGCATTGAGATGATTGCCAGAGCCGTGTCTGTCCCTGCTCTACTGCATTTTGCTCAGCGCTCTGATGCTGCAAGTGAGACACAGTGGAGGCAAGAATACTAATAAGGTGGTTAGCTACAGTTTCTTCAAGGCAGTCAGCACGCAGTACAGTAAATGTGGACTTCCCAGCGCTCCGTGTGTGTGTGTGTGTGTGTGTGTGTGTGTGTGTGTGTCTGCAGGGAGGGCAACGAATCCATCTCCCGCCAGCAGGAGAGATGGCTTGCGTTCTGCTGGAGAGGACTGTATCACCAGAATCGTCACTGTCCTGCATCCATTGTCTCTGACAGTATTTTGCTTGGGATGAAGAAGGGGGGTTAATGGCTTAGAAGCCTAGAGCTGGTATTTGAAAAGGGTGGAGAAGAAAAAAAATGTTCAGGAAGACAAATTAGCTTTATAAATAGGCTCCAAAGAGACCAAGGCAGATTTTTAACATGCTGCTGCCCTAGCTGTTAAATGGAAATACAAACCAATTTCAAAAACCAGCTTTAGCCTATAAATCTTAGAGCTGGCAACAAGTATCTGAATTTGACTGATGGGACAGTGGATAAATGGATTTCTGGTGACATAAAAAGTTTGTTCATGTCTTCTTCTATTCAGACTGGATGCAATGTGTACTGAAACCCAACGTTCATTCACTTAAAATGTGAATTTAAAAATCTACCATTGCAGATATATGCTAATTTGTTATTGTTAATATTTATTATTATCAAATAGTAGAGGATATTTGAGTGGCACAGTGACATTAAAATAATTGGCTAACAGTTATGATACAATACATTGTATCACTTTTAGTACCAAATATGAAAGTTCATATATGTCCAATATTGCTAAATAAAGACTCCCCTAGCTGCTGGGAATATAGTCATTTTCTTTCCAGGTTGAGACTCTCACTACAATATCTCTTCTTCTAGTCAAAGATACTCACTGAATTCCTTCACTCCAACTGGTATTTCTGGAAAAGAATTGAACTGGAGAAGGTGGTAAGAGTGAAATGTCTAGCTTTGTAGTACTCGGTATGGCCAGCAGATGTCACAAAAGAGGAGACAGGCAAAAGAATGCCATCCAGAACTGCAAATATTTAAGGTGATTAATTAAACACAGGTATTGATAAGATGGGTGGCATTAATCTTAAATACTGAAATTTTATAGACTATAAAATTTCGTACCCAATGAACAACCTGATATGTATAGTTCTCCAAGGATTTCCCTCAAGTCACCATTTTAAGTGGCTGATTATGACTAACATTACAGAAAATCCCACAAAATGACTTTGATACTCTGTGTAATACAGAACTCAATATTACCTTGCAAGTACAGCCAATATAAATGAAGACATAGAACAGATCATAGGATGAAACAAATTAAATAGTTTGGAATTAATAAGTAAAATGCGTGATATTTCAATTTTAAAGCAATAATACTGTTTGATTGTGATCATAGTAAAAAAAACAATTTGAAAGCATTGCTACTGTTTACTATATTATTAATGTCTATTACAGGGCTATACATTATTAATAAATACATAATCAAACTATAAAAAGTATTTTAATTACTTCTTTTTCATTTGAATTATTATTATTGTTTAAGGATTATACTTTGTTGAGGATTAAACTCAGTGTCTTCTCTATGTTAAGGTTATAACCTTCCACTAAGGTACACCTTTACTTCCTCTACATACTATGTGGCAGCTTTCTTTTAAATCTAAATATCACTTTAGCCTTTATTTAGCTAAATGTGACTAATGAAAATCTAGCACCTCACAGCATGAATTGGCCCATATGTCAACTGAACATGGTGTTGAAAGCTTTGGCTTTAGAACTGACACAGACTTCATTTCACATTTTACAGTTGCCTTCCTTTAAGAAAATATCCACTAAGCCATTTGTCTCTGTATCATTTTACTTGGTGATGAGCAAGAAGCTACATTGACATCATTGTTTTTCTTTCATTTGAAAGGAAAACATACATACCTAAATAAAGTTAGGTAAAGGCAAGAATAAATCAATATTTATTGTATCCTTGATATTTACTGACACAGTCTGTGGTTCATAAGTGACAAGTGTAGTTAATGAACAAACTAGGTATTCATTGTTACAATATTAGTTCTACCTATGTAGTTCATTTTGGTGATGAAAGTATGTTTTTAAGTTTATTTTTATAAATAGTTGTTTCCTTCTTATTTTTGTAAGGCTAGAGTTACATAGTTACATAACACTTGGTAGTTCTTAAGTGTGCATTTATATACGCTTGCTTGCATTCATCTGTGTGTTTCAGGACCAATGTGGGGAAAAATTTCACTTTCTTGATTGCCTGACATCTGGACTCAAATGGAGTATGTGTTTAGAAAGACAATTTCATGGCAGTGCACTGCTTTCTACTCTGAAACTTGCTTTGAAGTCAATAGTGTCACCAAGCCTCAAAAATACTGGTCCTCAACAAAGACAATGAGCTGAAAGTCTGCAGTCCACTAGAGTGGAAAGTCTAATCCCCAGTCAGATGCCAATGAAGTTGAAGTGAAGGGATGAAAGAACAGCAATGTCCCAGCATGAGTCTTTGGTGTTTGCATAAACTGGTATAAAAAGAGAAGTCACTCTGGGGCTCCTTGTTCCCCCAACTGGAAATACAACTGAAGTTATAGGTAATGGTCTCCTGCTTCATCTAGATGCAAAGAATCGAACTCAGGTTCTATGCAAGAACAAGATGTGTTCTTAACCATTGAGTAATCTCTCCAGCCCCCAACAATGCAGCTTTATTCTTGGAGGCAAAGAGATAGAAGAATCCAAACAAACAAGACCTGGCCAGTTTCCCCCAGATCATTTCCATTAACTCAAATCTTCTCTGATTCTGGCTATTACTTTACACATTTTTCACAAAATATGCAAGTGCTTTCTTTTGGATATTTATTTCAGGAAGTATCTACTTCTCATGAACATTGTTCTAATTAACTTTACATGATTTACTCTAGTTAAATTTTCTTTTATTATAGCTTGCTCAGATGGGAACTTTATTATGGGTGAGAAAAGATATTTTTTATTCTTCCATCAGGAGTCTTGGCTTTACTCTCATGAGTGGGATTCAAGGAAGAAACACAAAGGAGATGAACTGTTTTCTGTATGAGAATACAGTAAGTAGGGGGTCCGTCAACCAACAGAGATGTGGACCTTACCCAGGGCCAAACTGTCCAGTGACAACTTGACTGTGAACTTAATTATCCTCCAAAACTGAAACAAATCTATTTGTGCTGTTTAAGCTTCCTCTTCTCTAGTACTTTCACACAGTGAAAAGCTTGAGCTATGAAACAGGTAAAAAAAAAACCCACAAAAATTAAATATAGTTCACAAATGATCAGAAGTGATCAGTTCTAAGAAAGAACATGACAGATTATCACTACACTGAGATACCAATTTAAAAGCCTAAGTATTGAATTTCTTGGCTACTGATCATTGACAAATTATTATCTATCTTGTAAGTGTCTCAGCAAGGAGAAACAAAGCAAAACAAAGGAACAGAAAACAAGATGGTGACTACAGAGTGTCAATTAAATTTGATAATCCTGTCTCATAAGATAATTTGACTGCTATTCTTCTTTAAGCATGCCACTATAGGTTAGACAACTTGTATATTGTAGTTCAGCAAAAATTCCTTTGCCAATCAGATTGGTTTACAAAGATTATCTTCTATGTCACTATTAGTTTCAAAATGATTCCACAGTCATAAACTGAAATGCATACATTAATAGAACAGGGAATTTCAAAGGAGATAACAATTCCAAATAGAGCTTTTTTACCTCTGTCTATTATAATAGGTCTCTGTTATAGATGACAGTATTAGAATACCTCAATTTTAGAAAATGTGCATACAATCTGAGACTCTGTGAGCAGTATGCAGTATGTTTGAATTAAGGACAATGCTATATACTTAGATTCTTGTTATCCTAAAATTCTAAATTTTCACAGAAAAATGAATCAATCTAGGGTGGAAAGTAGATATATGAGTCACCATAACATACCTTATTTTGGGGACTCAATAACTAACTCTAAAATGATATTATCACAGCTAATACAATAGTCTTAGAATTCTCATAGGAGAATTACAATGTCAGGTTTTCTTTTAAAGTCACTTTATCTAGAGCACCCTATCTTGGCTTCAATTTGTTCCATGTATAATGTTCTATGCAATCAGGACAGAAGAATGCAAATGGGGTTTGTATTGGTTCTCTGTGACTGGATGTAAAATTAGTTTCCCTGTATTCCAACACTCTGTATTGTTTTAATAGTCTGAGTGGCTTCCTAGTCCACTGGGCAGACCAGGAGACTCCTTGTTTACTAAACAGTTGCAGTCTGTTAGTTCATCTCTTGAAGTTTTCTTATTCCCAGTGCCAGTTTAAGTTAGATCTTTTATTTAAAGTATTTTAGCAGGTTGCTAAGAATTTGACGCTATCATTATGTCTCAAAATATTTAGGCCAGTTTTTTTTTATCTTACTTTGCAAGCTTAGGAAACTCTAGACTCCATATTGAATTACTTGTGTTCATTTCTCCAAGAGATCTGAACCTTGAATTTCATAATAAATTTTGTTCATTAATCCAAAAAATCTTATTTAATTCTTCATTATGTAACATTTATTGCTTATT